AAATCCACTTAATAAATATTACAAAACATAGCTTATGCTGTCTTCATTTATGTGCATTTTGGACACCATTTTTTTTTTTAAGATAAAGTAATAGTTCAAAACTTTAACTAAATGTCAATGGAAATGCAGTTCTCATGTAGGTAAACAGGTTAAGATTATGCGATTTTTTTTTTTTACAGTAACATGAGAAAACTCCCTTATAACTCAAAGACATAGAATATAGAAATGAATCCACCTAGTTCGCACAGCTGTGATTACAACTTCGTGAGACTTTAGAGTCACTGTAACAGAATGGAGGGGGACAACCTCCAATCTATCAATATTAGGTTGGAATTAGGTAGGCGGATAATTTTAGCTTACATGGGTTTGTTCATTTCCATCTCTCCAGGACACTCTAGAATAATTCAAGTCCCTTAAGGTAGACCAACTATTCTGAATTCCTCCCTTTGTCTTCTATGAGGCTATTTGTTGGCTCAGAACACAGAGGAAGGAAAAGAAAGGAGCAATTATTGAGAGCCTGTGGCACCTCAAGCACTGTCCCTCTTATATTTGAAACTAAATCTGCATGAAACAGATATGCTTCCCATTTTACAGGTAAGAAAACCTAGGCTCTCAGAAATTAAGCACCCAGCCCAAGAACCCACAGATTTGTGTTTGGATTAGAGCTTTCCACGACTCCAAATTTCACACAATTTCCTCTCCTGAATGTGATAATTTAATTACATTTCAACTTTAAGAAAAGAACGGTCCTACAAGGCTTGAAGCATTTCTTAAAAAGACTTATTTATGTGAGAAAGAGAGTGTGAGCGTGTGGGCAGAGGGAGAAAATCTCAAGCAGACTCCTCCCTTCCTGAGCACAGAGCCCCATGTGGGGCTCGATCTAATGACTCATGAGATCATGACCTGAGAATCACTTTTTTTTTTTAAGATTTTATTTATTTATTTATTTGACAGAGAGACACAGCGAGAGAGGGAACACAAGCAGGGGGAGTGGGAGAGGGAGAAGCAGGCTTCCCGCCGAGCAGGGAGCCCAATGCGGGGCTCGATCCCAGGACTCTGGGATCACAACTGGAGTAGAAGGCAGACACTTAATGACCTAACCACCGAGGCGCCCCCTGAGAATCACTTTTGATGTTAACTCTAGCTCAGTGATTCTTGGGGGATGTGTCACCGCTGGGATGTTTGTGATTAGAAATGTCTAAAGAGAAACACCGTGGTATTGATTCTGAGGGCCAAAGACAAATATGATGATATTTTATACACAGTTCACGGATCTTGCATCCACACTGTGTAATAGTTAACTGCGATTTCTGTGGCCTTTTGTAAAAGACTATCTTGGCTTGCTAAATGGCACTCCCCCAAATACTAATATTAGAATCCAGTAGTAGGAGGAGACTTTTTTCTGTGATGTAGACTGGTGCTAAACTCTAAAATGCAGAGCGATGACAAATGCGCAGAATGTAGTAACTTCAGTATTTTCAAGTGTATTGTGAGAGAAGGAAGTATGCTTTTATGTTTAGTAGCAGTATTATCCTTCAGGTAAGAAATCAGAATGGTTGCTTTGGTGTCAATAGATGGTTGTTTAATATGTATTTGTATGGAGCCTTCTGTGTTCCCATGTCCCCCTTGATAACAATAAGAAAACATCTGCTAGTTTTTTCTGTAACCCAAGAATAATTTAAATCAGTTGATCCCTCCCTTCCATCTCTTTTACTCAGCTTCTTCTTTTTATAGTTGACCAAGGAATTAACTTTTCCTGCCAATGTTAACAGAAGTATGAGCGCCCACATTTACAACATGTATCCACATCTGCATCTGCATCCACATGTAACTATGTACATTCATAATAGTATGCACGCATACACATCATGGAATTCCATTTTGAGAGATTAAAATATTAATTATGATAATAATCAAGAATTCATGGTATGCAACCCAATAAGGTCTAAAATGTTTTTTAAAAGTACTGCATAAAACTTTTGCTTCCAGGTCGGATGGAATGAGAAGCTTATAAGCTATGAGAACACACAGAAAATCTATACAAAATGTAAAAAATGAGCAGCTTAAAGGGATCAGAGCACCCCTGAAACCACAGGTCTAGGATTCCAAAGAGGAGAAAACCCTGGAGAGGTGAGGGAAGAATTTGCAGCTGATTTTATTGATTGTGGCCTGTGGGAAAAACCCAGACTTGGCCCAGGTAGAAGGCCACTGCTAGAGCCAGCAGAAAGTAGAGGAGTCTTGAGGGACTGGAGTGACAAAATATAGACTTGAGAGATCTTAAACACACAACCCATTATCCCATGATGACATTTGTCAGATTCAGAAGCTGCAAGGTCTAGAGGCAAAAGCTAAGCGAAAACCCCTGAAATGCACCACAGATTTTTGTCAGTCTTGCAATACTAAGAAGAAAAAATATTTTTAAAATATTGGCATTCAAGACCTGCCAAGAGGAAGGCCCCACATGAACACACTGGGCCTGGGTTTGTCCTGTGGACCAAATCCAGCCTGCCTCTATTTCTGTATGGTCCAGAAATGAAGAACAATTTATATACTTCTAAATGGTTGCAAAAAAAAAAAAAAAAAAAATCAAAAGAGTAGTATTTTGATACTCGATTTCCGAAAGTATATGAAACTCAAATTCTCTGTTCTTAAACAAAGCTTTATCAAAATACATCCATGCTCTTTAGTTACATATTGATTCTGCCTGCTTTTGCATAGTAAGGAGTTACAAAGAGACTGGATGACCCAAAAAACCTAAAATATACGTGATCTGACCTATTATAGAAGATGCTTGCTGACCTACAAATGGGGTGTTAGTTGAAAACCCTCGGCAAACATCCTATAACAGAAATAAACCAGAGATAAACAGGGTCTTACCAAAACTCAACCCAACCACCTATTGGCTCAACTCCAGATTGGATTAAAGAATTAGCCTCCACTCTATCTCCCTGGCATGAAGAGGATAAATGTTTGCTGGAGAAAGATCTTATCATCTTGAGCCTCTATAGTTTTTTATACACATTTTACACACATTCCAGCATTCAGAATATTACTCTACTTCATTTGGCCTGAGCAGAATGTATAAAGAAGCCTGACTTAATTGGCGAGCTCAACAGCAATCCATTAACATCCAACGATTACACATGCAATTTTAACCTATGTTTTAAAGAAAAATAAAACAGAAGTAACAGTATTACCTGAAAGCAATTTTCTTGGCAAGGAAACTCAAAATATATGTCTGGAATAATAGTATTCTACCTAACTAGATGTTATTTTCCATTGTAAAACATTCCAGTAATATATGGAATAAAATCTAAGAGCGATTTATTTTGTAGAAAATGAAGACAAATAGTAATTGACTGGTTAGAAGTCATTCTGAACTACAAGACTGTGTTCTAGGGCTTGTTTTTTTCAGTGACATGTGCTTCGCAGACACTGGCATCATAGTTTAGGCACCTACTATCCTGAGAAGACAGACAAGTGCAGATGTGGGAAACACTGGTAACACTGGAATATTAAGATTATGCAATGTCTTATGCCTACATCTCTGCCAGAATTTTAAAATTTGATTTTAATAGCTTTTTCTAATGAAAAGAATAAGACGGCTGAGAAGTTCAATATGTCATAGCACTGTAAATCGCTAACTTCATTTTAATTAGGATATACTAAGGTTTTACATCTGTGGCAAAAGTAAATTGTAACTTCCATACACAGCGGATCAGGCCACTTTAATTTTTAACAGATTACAATCTGCAGCACACGTCTTATTGGTGTCAATGAAATATATAACCTAATGGTGCTCTAAAGTTCAGGTCACATAATAATTTTATGGGATTCAAACACATGCGATCATGCTATTATATAGAAGGCAGACAGATACAGCTATGACTATAAAATTTAATATAGATAGTGATTAAAAACTGGATATTTAATGTACATATAAATGGTACACTATAATTTTTAATTTAACCCAGTGTATAACTAGCTTGTGAACAGTTATCTTATGGAAACAAACAATGTTATCAAAATATTATCTGGGAAAGCCAGAGCTATTGCTAAAATCAAAGGACTTTCAGAATTAGAGACTTTTTAAAAAGTTGATGTTTCAAAAGCTTTTTTAAAAGTTGAAACTCTCCTCATCACTTTCTCCACCTTTAAGAGCTTCTCAATGATAGATGCCTGTGAACAGGACTCTAGAAGCTTGAGGAGATAAAGGCTGGATTGTGGTCAAATAATAAATCACAAGGAGAGTATGCTACTTATCATTTTAGCTAAATTTTAACTGCGCTTTTCACATTAAACTCAATATCTTTAAAAATTACAAGTGTCATCTCTTAACAGACTTCATCCATATAATTTACTAATTTCAAAGCAAGGTTTACACTCATCTAACCCTCAAAACTGCTCAAAAACATTCTTCCCATACGTGAAAACAGTCTATTTCTAAGCAAGTTAATATCATTACATTGGAAACTACAAAATACTATGGATAACCCAGGATATTCATGCAATTGGTTATTTAATTCAAATAGTTGATTAAAGGAAAGTAGCCCTATGGACAGACCTTTATACCACGGATTCCTTAATAACTAGTAGAATGCCATGCCTTTAAACACAAAAATCACTATTATCTATAGTTCCACAACAGTGTTTCTCTATACATCATGTTCGATTCCAGTGAAAGGATCAGAGTCCTCAGAGAGACACATTGCAAACAAAAAGTCCTTAGAAGGTATTGGAAAGTCAGGCCAGGAGTCACAGAGAACCAACAGAGATGACAGAGATGTGATATCCGGGACCGTCTCCTCAGAGAGAGAAAGGAAAACCACATGGCACTGCTGAAAAGCTGTGTTAATTCTCTCTCTTAGCTGAGCATTAAATATTACATCTTTCAAACTGTCTCAACCACATGACTGCTTCTTGAGGTGAGACCCTCCTTTAAGAAACACAAACATGCTCAAAGCGCAATGCAGAAACATCATAGAAACTTAATGACCTACCATTCTCTTTGCACTCTTCTGGAGGTTTAGCCTTTTTCGCAAGTCGTGGATCCAGCCATGATGTTGTCTTTGTGTTATGGCTGAAAAGAAAAGAGATCACTCTGAACAGACACATACTGAAAGGAATCAAGTTTATTCCTTAAAAAAAAAAGGAGGGGGGGTTATTAGTCCAACAAAATTGCAATCGATACACTTAATTTGCTTACTGGTTCTAAGTAACCCTGAAGGTGGTGTAAGAGTAATTGTGCAAGGCAGCTGTAAATTTGGCAACCTCAGCTCCCTGTCCTCAAAGCAGCTATTTTTATTAAAATCAACTAGAATGTTGCCAAGTTAACCTCATTGAAAATGCAGAACTCATCCAGAGCAAAAGGAATTTATTACAAACACAGGATTCTCCAGTTGGAAGAGCACAGTTCGCAGGCTCTGATACTGTTTCCTCACTTTTGCAAAATAATTATTTTCATCTTAAACCTGCCCTTTTCATAAATAGTTGTTTTGTTACTCTTTAAAACTCCAGAGCTGGCAGCAGCAGTATAAAAGTGATGAAAATTACAGCATGTTCTCGGGATGCCTACATTTTCTCAAAAAGTGATTAATAGCAATGTCATTAACCCATATTTAGCTGTGTTCCAACTAAATACTTTCAACCCGGCTAGGAAGGCAGAGGGTAAAAATGCCTGTATTCGAATGTTTCTAGAATGGAATTTCTGGGACTTAATAACAATTTTGATGACATTTGTGCTTTGAAAAAAAAATGTTTTCTGGTAAGCTTTTTGCCAGAAATTTTAAAAACAGAGGAGAGATGCTTTTAGAACAGTGTTTCTTAAAGAGGCCCCAGAATCACCTGCATTGGAGTTGGAGTCACCTGGTGATTAACAGTGCACATTCTGGGATTTCATAGAACTACTAAATCAGAATCTTTGAGGTTGAGCCACAAAATCTCCATCACTGGCAAACACTCCAGGTGATTTTTATGCACATTATAATTCGAGAACCACTCAAAAGCTCTTTGGAACTAAAGTCTTTGCTGTATACAGCTGTCTCAAGTGATCTCATCTACCAATGGACAAATTATCAAGGATGTGACATTTGTGAGGGCTTCAGAAAAAGCATGAACAAAGTCACAGGTGTGGAAAAGTGTGAGGCTCATACAGGGAAGAGTCAAAAGGCCAATCAATGGAACATGAAAGGGAACAGTAGAAAATAGTATAGAAATATAAAGTAAAGCCAGATAATAGGGATATCTGAACACAACTGTAAGAAAGTCCAGTGATAATGATGAAAGTCAAATGATAACAATTTCACATATATCTTCTCTTTCTTCTTTGAAATTTAACTATGAAATATAACTTATTGTATCAGAGACACAAGTATCAGCTAGATAACCTGATGAACAAATCTCCACTTAAAGCAAAGGTCAGAAAATTCTCCCAGGCAGCATATTTAATAGCAAACTTATAGAGACCAGGTGCCTACCGAAAGAAGAAAATTTCAAGGCAGGCAGGAGGAAAGATGGAGATAAGCTGGGCAGTGGGGAAGCAAGTCCAAGGTGTTAAAGCACCTAGTATTTTCTGGACGATGATCCTGTCTATGTGTAGAGCCATCTCTGATTTGAAAACAGAGACATTAAGATCCTCGGGTCATAAAGTCTCTGCTCCTAAAGAAGATTCCCTCTTATTTCTGACTTTCATGTGTGGTTAAGAGAAAATACTCTCCATCACGTTCTTCACACAGGAACTCCACAATGATTGATGCCTCTAAGTGGGGCTCTCATAATTTGATCAGATAAAGGCAGTGAATTTGGTCAAATTATAAATCATCAGGAGAGTACGCTAGCTTTTATTTTCTCCCAGTTTGACCTCTGCAAATCCTGATGGTGCTTTATTAGCGAGTTTCAGAAGCCAGTAAAGTATTGCAGACACTTTCATCTCATTCGGGTCCTCATTTGTACTCATGTCAATATCTGAACTAAAGACACCCATGGAAGGAGATTAGGACTACCCCAAATATGTTAGTGGACTGGGTTCAGTGTTTGCTGCTCCCATTTTGAAAAAGACAAATTCACTTTTAAAAATGTTTTTTATAGACACGCCTTCAGTACTAAGTGTGTGTGTGTGTGTGTGTGTGCTTGTGAGTGCGTGTGCCCGTGAGTGCATTTGTGTATAAGGTGTGTTCATCTCTATGTTTTTATTTGTTAGGGAGAAATGTTGGGAAGTGGGCAAGGAAAATACACTTCCCTTCTTTTTAAGCACACTTGCTTCTTCAAAATCCTTCATTTTGGAGAAAGGTCATTTATTTCTAGGTCTGTGAGACATTTTCACAAAAGCAAACACATCTATGGATAAGTAGTAAGGGGCCATTACTAAGCCATTACAGGGAATCAAATTACCATTTCTGTATCACGCCATCACTGGTCTCAAATACTGGCTAATTTTGTAGAGAACTGTGAGTTTCCTAGCTTTCCTGCGTTTATACAAAGCATTTCATTACAGGATTTTTTTTTTTTTTTTAGGTTGAACTAGCATTAATGGTATGTCACTTTAATACACTTTGGCAGATGGAGTCTCTTATAGTTAATAGCATTTTTAGCTGATCCTCTGAAATGATTCTGAAAAAAATGTGGGTAGTAGTTAATCTTAAACACCACATGAAGATACAGTGCAGTATTTTTCAATAGTGGCTCTCCCCAGCCCTATAATTTGGATGCTTCTTCAGGATACCTTATGGAGGCGATATTTTTAATGCATTTGGGAGACAACAGACCAAGTGGCTTTTCCACTTTCCTCAAATCCTTTATTTTTAACCTCGACAATTACCTTTGAAAATGGGATTAAACATTGGACAGGAGACTGTGTACAAAATGGGATCATTGAGGGATTTTTCACAATCTACAGAGCACTTTTCCTCAAGTTTGAGGATGTGATTTCCTTTCACTTCGACTGCTAAAGTAGATTTAAACAAGACATCAGTTTTCTGTATCTAACCAAATTGTGTGGTGCACCAGTGACAGGAAGGTAAGAGGCTAATGCTACATGATCTTATATTCTGATACTAGTTTCTTTTCTTTTCTTTTTTTTTAAAGGTTTTATTTATTTGACAGAGAGAGACACAGCAAGAGAGGGAACACAAGCAGGGGGAGTGGGAGAGGGAGAAGCAGACTCCCCACTGAGCAGGGAGCCCAATACGGGGCTCGATCCCAGGACTCTGGGATCATGACCTGAGGCGAAGGCAGACGCTTAACGACTGAGCCACCCAGGCACCCCATGATACTAGTTTCTTAAACAGAGACATATACACACATATATGCTGCATTTGCAAAGAAAATTCCCCCCCCTAGCTGGGGAATGGAACAATTATTTTCTAGGAATGCTGAATCATAATAGTCTACTCCTGTATGTATTTTTATGGATAAAGTTAATGTGATGATCATGAAAAGTGAGAGATCAAGTGGAGTAAAGTCAGTAGCTATTCAAGTTCAATCAATGTCAGATTTAAAAATCTGGATAAAAACCTTAAAAAATGGTTTATCCAAACTCTTCCCTGATGTTAAACTATATAATGAATCTATCTGGAGGAACAGAACAAGCCAGAAGTGAAATTTCATTTAACTCTGCAATACTAGTTTAAATTCATAACAGAATGGCCTTGAAGACGTGATAGGCTGACTTATAATGAATTAGAAATTTCTGTGGGTTTTTTTTTTTTTTTTTTTTTTTGGTAAGTTTAACCTTTGCCAAACTGACAAAAGCTGCGGGTTAAGTCATAACATCTTATCTTCCTGGGGAAACATTCTTTTCACACAGAAAATGCTTCACTTCGACAGGAAAAGCTGCTGGCCTTATGGTACACCATTGCAAAGTTATTCTCATTATCTCTTGACATTTCCTGATTGTCTACTTTGTCAGGGACTGAACTAGAACTTTCAAACACATCACCTCATTTAATGCTAATGAGCCTCTGTGGCTACAGATTTTTAATTCCACCTTACAGACAGAAAAACAGTTTCAGAGAAGGTGAGTAACTTGCCCAAGGTTACACAGCCAGTGTGTGAAGGGGAAAGAGCTGACATGCAGCCCATATATATCTTTTTCCCAACTCCAAGTTTCTTATGCTCTGAAACCGGGGGCATACTAGACCTAACACTTTGCTTTTTATACTGAGTTGCTTTATTTCCCTCCCTTGGAGAATCATCAAAGATCTTTTCCTCAGAGCCTTTGCCAATAGTTTGGAAATAGAGACATTTATCTCTTGTTTGAAGATAGTAATTCACAACTTTAAATTCCTTTGTGTTGAATGCCTTGTACTTAGTAGGTATTATATCAAATTGCAGGTGCATGGAGATGAAAGAGAGAACATTGTGATTGAGGAGGCACAGATAGTATCACTGGAAACACTTTTGTCCTTATAAACTTGAATTCTCCATTCAGATCACTTTTGAATCAAATGTTCTCCATTCAGATCTGAATATTTTTCCAGGGGGGACCTAAGATGGCAGCATAGTAGGAGGACCGTAAGCTCATCTGTAACACAAGTAGGTAACTATCAAATTGTTCTCAATACCCCAGAAATCAACCTGAATATTTTTCCTAAATAAAGTCTTAAAATTCCTGATTTACAGAATCTACATATGAATATTAGGTCTTAGAAGCTATACTGAAGAATTAGGTTAATAAAACTGCTATCAAACGGGGGGGGCATTTTCTTTTTTCTTTTAATTAATTTATTTGTTTTAGAGAGAGAGTGCAAGCCGGGGGGAGGGGCAGAGGGAGAAGGACAGAATTCTTCGAGCCGACTCCCAGCTGAGTGGGGAGCCTGACACAGGGCTTGATTCCAGGACCCCGAGATCATGACTTGAGCTGAATCCAAGAGCCAACTGACTGAGTCACCCAGGTGCCTCACAGGTGGAGGATTTTCATATAGATCATGCCACACTGTATCCTCCATTCCATTTTTCCATCACTCTATGTTTTCCCAGTCAGGGTATCAACCATTTAAGGTGATCCAATTCAAGCCTAATTTTAGGACCTGTCCTCCTTTCATCCATCTATTCTTTCTGTTTCCTTTTCCTCTCTCCTCCTCT